TAACCCCTTCCCTTTTTACACTGAATTTAGACGCTGAATTTAAGACAGTGAAATAGAGCCAGTTGAATCTCAGAAGGCTGAAAATATTGAGTTTGAATTTTGAAAGGTTGAATTTTTTTATATGCAGATTTTTTAACACCGAAAAATTTAACTGAAAAATAAGTATTAATAATGTAATCACTTTGAAATAGTAATGTGAATTTTTAGCTTGAAGAAAAAATAACAAATTAAATTTCAACTGTGTAGAAATATTGACAATCAATTTTTTTTAAGTCAAAAATGTGTTCTGAATATATTTTAACACTGAAACAGTAAGTACAAACATACAACATTTAAATTTCAGTGGCATTTTTAATTCAAATCCGAGCGACACAGATTTACTTCCATAGCCTTAATTTAGTCAGAACAAGGAGTCCAGGTCTTGCTTTGCTGAGCGAGTTGAGACCTGTTTGCCATTGCATAACAAAACTGTAAAAACAACTGGCATGGATTTTAAAACACATGAGTATGACAAATACCTTCCAAGGTTTTTGCCTCTTTAATTTGGTAAAAGTGAAACCATTCAAGTGTTTTTTCTGTTTTTCACTCTCATTATTCGTTTCTTAAACCCCTCCTCTTTTCTCTGAGTTTTTTCAACAGACTATTATTACTGTTAGTAGGTTCATCTCTCCATGCAACTTGGCTGTTAGTTTCAAAGCAGGTGGCATTTTGTGTTCACATTCACAAGTCTTTTTCTGCTCCCTAAGATAATTTTTTCCCCCTTCTGTTTTTTCTCTTTTTAAGTTTTCTCCTTCCTTCTCCCTGACATAACTCTTCGCTTGACCTTCAGAAACAGGTGAATATTCTATATCTATATACTCTAAAGTCTAATTTTCAACTGTAAAAAGTTTATTCTTACTGGATTTCTTCAATTTGCATGCTGGAAAATTTACTTATGGTAGTTTCAATACTGACAGTATGATTATTTCCTTTCAGTTTCAGTTTTTTTAAATGGATACCTTTGTGCATGACAAACTAAACCAGTGGGGTCTCAATGAATTCATAAAAAAATTTGAAGGTAAAGTATGACAATGCATGACAGTTGATAAGAACAAGTCCTATGTGCATTGTATCCTCAGCATTAAGTGTTGTTTGGTGAATATCTTTAATATTTCTTCATGATCTTTTCTATGTATAATATTTTTATTCATTAGAAAATCATTTTTTTATATGCTTGTCAAACATAAATAACTTTAGGGTCAATTGTCTTGCATGGACTTAGATATTAGTTTCATTACATAAATGTTTCCGCCTTTTCTCTTTGTAATAAAAAGATGAGGCAAACAATGTAAAAGCTCAGCACTTTATTCAAATCGAGGGTTAATCATTCTACGATATGGGATAAATTGTCCTTTATCAATTTGAGTTAGATTAATAGTCTCAGTCTTGCAAAAATTAGCAGTTTGCATTCTTTATAAATCTTAGTTCTACAGGTGTAAATAACTGAATTTCTGAATCACAGATGAAGGAGTGGATAAAGAGAGTCTTTATTGTCTGGAGGATAAAGATATTTTAATATTGATACCAAAAGTGGGACCAAGGGCTCGGTTTAAGAAGAAACTCAGGATGTTAAAGGTATTGTTTAAACATATCTATCTATACATCTACAGTATATGGATATATAAATATGTATATATGTATTTCATTGTATATGCAACTAACGATTCATTTGCAAATCGATTCATCTGTCGATTGTTTTTCAATTAATAATCAGATAGAAAAAGGCTCCTTAAAAAATACTTTTTACAAAATTAAACCAACTGAAACTAAAACTTTTCCACTTGAGGTGTTATGGATAGAGCATACTAAAGGATGGAAAAGTTTTTTTTTATTTTTTACCTTAAATGCAAACTGTTGATATATTTTTTGACAATCTTGGTATAATTACTGCTCTAAGTGGGTTGCTCTGTCAGCTAAGGGCATGTTTTGGAGTCTCTAAACTCTATTTAACAATTAATCCATTACTAAATTAGATGACAATTATTTTAATATTCAATCAATCAGATGAATTGTTTATATACTCAAACTATAGAGCTTATAAACAATTAATCAGACTGACTGAATATTATATATATATATATATATATATATATATATATAAATAACATGACCTTTCTTTTTAGGAGGAAGAAAGTAAAAGAAATGGAGAACTTGGTCCTAAAGCGGTAAGCCAAAGCTATTTCATCCATGAAAGTGTAACAGACATTAAACTATGAATATCTGTATATTTTCCTAAGCACATTAATGGTATAACAAAAATAACTATTCCTACAGTGCCAACAGCAAGAAAAAGCTGCACCTGGTTTATCCAAGGTAAGGGGGACTACAGTTAAAGTGTTTTATATTAGTATTTAGGGGACCTTGCTCTCAGGCTTCTGAGTAAAACATAGTACAATGAATTGCCTCCTGAAGTTACTTAGCTCCTAAATAGCATTCAGCAATTATTATTATTTTTTTTTCTATTTCTCTGAAAATTACTTCTTCAAATATGCTTTAGAATATAGGGAACATAAGCCTCATAAAAACAACGGAACAGAGCAAAGAGGTCAGTAATGACACTGTGGAGCTCAAACATGCGCAGTTACTACTGTATATGTCTGGTCACATGTTCTTGTTATAAATCTATATAAAACAAGTTCTTTACTGGGATATATAGAAAGAACAAGCTTAAAAAACAGAAATATAATAATATGTGTGATAATTAAAATGGAAACCAGAGTTAATTACTGCTGTAGAAATCCATAGTCATAGTAAGCACACAGTGCAGAATTACCTACATTATATTGTTTTTACATATGCTATGCAGATACGGATTATTTTGACATCAGTTTAACCAATCCCAGATATATGCTGTTGATATATATGGCCCAACATTTTATGCCAGTGTTGTCTTTTCATCCTCCATTTACATTATAGAAATCACACCATGATAACAAAGGTCACACAAGTATAAATTTAAATAAATAAATCGAACATGGTGGTCTTCTACCAGACAAGTTGAAATGAGACGAGGAATGCAGTAAGAGTCCGGGAGTAATGAAACTGAGGAAGTTTTTGTTATGATGGTGGAGGAGGGGCTGGAGGTGGGTTGAAACGGGGGTTATCTGAATGAAGCTACACACGCATCCACCGCCTGCGCTCTAGGTAGCAGAAAAGCTGCAGATCCGAGGCCAAAGAAGAACTTTGGACGCCGATTGGCTTTCGTGGAGCTGTGGTTCAAAGCTGATTCGCTGTATTGTAGGTGGATGTAGGCGATCAATCAGTTTCTTCAGTTGAATTTCCGCCTAGGCACCATATATATATATATATATATATATATATATATATATATATATATATATATATATATATATGTTTGTGTGTGTCAAGCCTTGCCAAGGGTGTGTGGAGCAATGGGATCAGAGATTGATTGATTGAAGACTAAATTTGACTTTTCAAAATCCAATACCAAAAACGGCCAGAAGATTGCATAAGTGCATCTACTGTATATCTACCACTTGCATGTACCACATTTCTTTTGATATCCAGTTTTAATGCTAAGCGTTGTCCTTAACCGGTTACAAATTAAGCTACACTCACAAGGTGTCAATTGTGTAGTGTGCAGGATCACACCAACAGCAGCTTGATGACCAGGGTCTAACTCATGTTTGTGTAGCACTTTTTTGCCACTGGATGCGTAAATAAGCTTCCTGAAGCACAGCGTGCAGAAGCAAGCGCCTGGTTCACCTAACTTTCTGCACCAGCTGCTAAATGGCTTGCCATCTCACCCTGTCTCCTCCAGTCATGCCCAGCTCCATTTATTGTGAGACCTCTTTCTATGGTCATGACATCTTCCCGGGAGTTTATTAACGAGCCAGAAATCCAGCCTAGGGCCAAAATATTTTAATCCCTGTAAAGAACACCTTACATTTAAATTCATATTATGCTTGTGCTTTGAGCCATATAAAATTTGACAAGTGTTTTTTTTTGTTGATTTATTTTTTATCCACAGGTTGTGTCCTCAGCAAGTAATATATATGGTAAACAAAAGTCTTAATCTGATTCTCAAGTAGTTTGTTATTTGATCAAACTAATATTGAGATAACCAATTAATTATTTTTGGAACAAGGAAAAAGAAAAAGTGAAATTGAGCTTCAGGAGAAATCTAAAGAAGACAAACCAGCAGTAAAACGGCAGCGTGGCAGCTTTCAAAACTCAGGTATTTATTTTTTTTTAATAATAGTGCCAAATTAATATTGATATAAATATATAAAACCCTTTTAGGTAAATGCTGGATATCAACAAAAATAAAATTGTTGACCAATGTGTAGTTTAAACATGAGTTAAAGTTACAATAACATTAACTTTGCTTCACATTCATTGGTCAGTGTTGCTGCTCAGTCTTTGTATTGTTTTCACCAACAGAAGAAATGATACTGAATGACGTAAAAAACATTATGGCCCATGTTCATACTAACCTAAGCAATCAAGACAGCACAGATCTTAATGAATTCCTAAAGTAAGTATGTTTTGTGTCTTCCTCTTTGTGCCCAACAAATAAAGCTTTGGAATGTTAAAACCTGCAAACAGATTTTGTTCCTTCCATTAAAAAAGCAGATTGTGCATTCTACAAGCAGTTTGAGAGTGGCAATATAAGAAAAAATATGTTCAAAGCTATGAAATTGAACAAAATAATGTGCACCTCATAGCCTTCTCAAAGCATGACAAAATAGGTAAAAGAAAATACAGTAAAGCATAACCTTGAATGAATATGTTTTATTAAATAGATGGGGGGAAAAAATCCATGTTGTAAAGAAATATGCAGTCTCCCTCGTATCTTTTAAACCCGTTTTTATAACCATGCTACAATATTCAAGTTGACTTATTGCTTTTAGATTTATTAGCTGTATAAAGATTGTTGTCTTGCAATGGTGCCAGCCTGTATAATTTTTTTTCTTTATTCAGATTATTCTACTATTCCTATTTCTGACGGTCCAATTACAGTATGTTTCCATACACCCAGAATATTTCTCCATCCTTTGGTCCAATGGTAGATAATTTTATGTGTCAGTTTCCACCTTACTTTCAGAAATAATAAAAAAAACACACAAAAATGTGGCTGCAGTTGAGTTTTCGATTTGGAAAATTGCTTTGTGTATAGTGACTGTTTACATTTGCATTTCCTCCATATTTGGATTTGCCCGGGTGGTCATTAGATTATGATTTGCATATTCACGAAGGAAAACATGCAAAACAGGGTTGGCACAATCCTGTCTGCTGAATTGCAAATACAAAGCACTTTGAATTTTCTTTGAATATTTGCTCTGTGCATACAAACATGTTTGCACCTGTTTTAAGACTTACAAACCTCCTGTCTTCATGTGGCTCCCCTGCTAGCACCAAAAATATTCATGGCATAAAATGGTTAAAGAACATGCTGATTATGTAAGATGAGGCTGTGTCAGACTTGTGTGGCTTTTTTCTTCACAGCTTGTTTTAAGAGAGATTTTCCAATCAAAATGTCTGACTTGGCTCAATCAATATAAACATCCTACTTTGTCAGGTACACTCCCCAGGCCCTAAAAACAAAAACTGCCAAATAGCTGTTGAAAAAGAACAAATTGGACAAGCTCCTACTGCTGAACTTCAGGCACATCTCAAACCAGTAAGAATATTAAAAAAGTTTTGCCTATATATTTAATACCCCAGTAACAACAACCAGTTTCTTTAGCGTCTTCTACTAAGGTTTGTGTGCTTACCACAGTACCAAGACAGCGCTTCTAAATGTGTCAAATTAAAATGAAGAATAAAGAACTATAGTGCTGGTAGTAGAGGACCTCAGGCGAGCATTCAACACAGTTAATCACTCTATTCTATTGGAGCACCTTAAATCTCACTGATGGATAGGGACTTTTTGTGATTCTACAGAGCAACAGTGGTGTAAGAGGTAGGGGTACGTCCGGTTTCTGGTTTGAGCCCCAGGTCAACTGTCTTCTCCATCACTGTGTCCTTTTCATTGATTGCTATTGGTGGTCAGAGGGTACTGTACAGCAGTCTTGCTTGTGTCAGTGTGCCCCAGTCCAGCTGAGGTTTATACAGTGTGATTGACTAAATGTAGTATAGTGGATTTAGGGTTCAAGTACTGGTCATTTACTTTCAACATCAGAGACAATAATACTCACATGTGAGGTTATATCTACAAGCTACCAATATCTGTTTCGGTCCCTAAGAATACAAGGCAGAGCTGATCACTCTATGGTTATAGCTTGATCTTGGCGTAGAAATCATGCGAGTAGGATGTTATTTATCAAGCTGCACTATTCCGACACAGTCTGAGACATGCCCAGCTAACTTTTGAAGGTTAATATTTATTGAAGTTAACTTAATTAATTTTTCTCAAATTTTTTTACAGGACCAAAATTAAAGATCTGGAGATGGACAAGAGGGAGTTAGTTGGTGTATTTGGTAAAACTGGAGCTGGAAAGACTTCATTGATAAATGCTGTCTTAGGTGTACGGACACTTTTGCCATCAGGAGATGTTGATGCATGTACCTCGGTCATGATTAAAGTGGAGTCAAATATGCACAACTCAAAGTATGAAGCAGAGATAGAGTTTATCACCAAAGAGGTAAATAGAGATTTTAAACAGTTTCCTCATTTTCTATGTAACCTAAAACATCTCAGGGTTTCTCATTCTTTTCAGGAGTGGGAAGACGAGGTGGGAACCATAGACCAGTCTTTTGAAGATGATGGAGAGCAGGAGAGGCATGACGACGATGATGATATTGATAGCCGTTATGACCTTTTTGAAAAGCTTTCAGCAGTGTATGGAGAAGAATGGAAACAAAAATCCTCGCAACAACTCATGGATATTAAAAACTTCAGAGAGATTCCAGAATTTCTTCAGTCCACAAAGAAGATTTTAACTTGTGAATCTGTAAGATTGATTAAACAACATCTTGTGGTTCTGGCCTTATAAAAGTGGTATAATACTATATAAAAACAAATGGGAGTCTCCTATCAGAGGAAAAAAGCATACAAAACTTATTCATGTTTAAAGACAACCTAGTCCAAGTCCAGACCTTCAATGTCTAGACCCAAACTGAAATTATATTCTGTAGAAGACCGTAGAAGAATTTTATTCATAAAAGATCTTTCACCTATTTAGCTGCTGTAAAACCAGCAAGAATTACAATTTCTAGATACATATGAAGAAAAGCACTTTTAGAACTGGGGGCCGACCCCGATTCCCTCAAAAATGGGGGTCTACAAAGTAAAATCTTTTGTGCTTTACTTTTCATTTATAATTGTGGACTGATGTGTTTCCTCTGTCTCTATATTCTTCAAGTCCAAGGACTTATCTTCAAAAATTGTTAAATACACCAGACAAGGAGGCAAAAGAGAGATACAAAGGTGGTATTGGCCACTTGTGAAGTGTGTGACTGTCAAAGTGCCAAATAATGATTTTCTCCAGCATGTAACTCTGGTGGACCTTCCTGGGAATGGAGATCGTAACAAGAGCAGGGACACAATGTGGAAGAGGGTAAATTACATGTTTATACTGCGGACCTGTCCTCGTCGTAAATTATTATTATAAACTTATATTTCAAAAATACATTTAAGCTTAATTCACATTATAAATCTATCACTTTAGATTGTTGGAAACTGTTCTGCTGTGTGGATTGTATCTGAAATCAACCGGGCAGCAGCAGATAAAGAATCCTGGGAGATCCTAAAAAGTGCAAGCAGTCTCCTGGGAAACGGTGGCGAGTGTCGACACATTCACTTTATCTGCACCAAGTCTGATGTATTAGGAGATGTACATGATAAGTAAGTTCACTATTATACTGAAAGTGGAGGGTTTATAGAATTCAGACATGAATCAATCTAGGCTCAATAATTGCAGCATCAATCAATATTTAGTCTTGGAAAAACACAACAGTAACACTTCAATAAACTATGGGTGTTTCATTATCTAGGGATATTAAATGCCAAAAAGATGGTTGTACATAAAGAAGAAAAAGATGACCTGAATTAAAGGGTTATATAAATAATTTTCAAAGATAACCTGCTCAAGACTTTTTAATAACTGTAACTAGAAGAGATGTTTATGGTTTAAATTAAAAGATATGACTAAACATACTGCAAAAGTAACCCTCCGGCAGTTTATGGAAACTTTCAAATACCGAAAAAGTAAAACTAAATGCATTTTCTGAATTTATGCATGCTAAAAAAACAGTTTTCTCCTTTGTTTATGATTTCAAAAAAATAAAACAACATAAACTCCATAGCCAGTGAATTCTAATTATTAAGTCTAATTTGACAATATCCATCCATC